CTATCTATCTATCTATCTATCTCTCTCTCTCTCTTTTTGTCCTCGAAGGGCAAGTTCTCACCTGGAGAAATGTCGAAGATTCGAAGATTACAGATTCCTACTTATTGGCATGTGCCAAACTGCCCCACTATTCACCAAAATGGGATTATGATTATGCTGTACAGCCCTCGACCGGCTGCAGCACAAGTGCCACGGATAGGCTCCACACCTTTCCTGGCAGGAGATGCATTCACACTAGGATATTGACTTCACGGCGTGAGTTCTTGTCTCAACACCAGCTGCTCAGTGCACGGCGTTGTTGCCAGCAGCATCGAGGGGTGTACCGTCGACAAGGTATCCGATGTCTGCGGCATAGGCCGATTCAGGCAAGGCCGAGCCTGGAGAATGAGGGTCAGGGCCAAGCGTCTCAGGATGGTTAATAGCATTTCCTGCTCGATTCATAGGTGTGCCATCTGGCAAGTAGCCCACATCATTCACGAAGATGGCACGGGGCAGTGGAGATCCAGGAGCATGAGGGTCTGGTTGAATGTTCTCCGGGTGGTTGACGGCATTGCCTGCCCGGTTCATTGGCGTGCCATCTGGCAAGTAGCCCACATCGTTTCCAAACTCCAAATCCACATACGCGTCCTTCTGCAAGTGTGATGTTTCAATGAACAACTGATTGACCTTCTCCCAAGGTGCGTGGAAAAGTTAGGAGGAAAAAAATAGAAACACGCCCGTCCTTCTGAATGGCATAGGCAAAGCCACCGGCTTTTCGCACTGGCGCGGAGGCCTGGGTGGAAACTCCGACAAAGGCAGCCGCCACCTTGGGCACTGAAATAGATGTGTGCTCCACAAAACCCCCAAAAGCTTTCAGTGGATTGCAGCAAGCACGTTGGGTTTGTGAGTTGTTTCTTACCCGCACCTGCTGCGGGGCTGATGCTGCAGCTGGAGCCGGGGGCACAGCACCGGCCCTCACAGCGTTGTTGCCTGCAGTCACCAAGTCAGTGCCATCCACAAGGTAGCCCACGTCCGCAGTATAGAAAGAGGTGGGCAAAGGAGAACCAGGAGCGTGCATGTCCTTGGCAGAAGGGACTTTTAAAAACATGTCTAACATATTTTCAGCACTGATCCACCAAGACAGGATTTCCGCTGTGGTCTTCCGGTCAGCCCAGGAAGTCCTACTAAGCAAAATGCTTAGAGGGTCCTATGCAAGCGGGTAGCGCGCCTTTTCCAGCCTAAAAGGGGCTTCAGTAAGCGGTCGTATGACATGCTATACAAGACATACATAAAGACCTGCGCCCCACTTGGACTTCGCTTCTTTTGCTAAGTCCACAGGGCTTTTAGTGATCCGCCCATAGGATGCTTGGGAAACCTATTCCCGGGCATGATTTGCAACTCCTCAGTTGCAGATACGGCCTGCTGCGTTGCTGCAGCCGAGGACAGGTGGAATCTACGTGAAACACCTCTCTGCCTCCGAAAAGCGTCCAGTGTTGCGTTCACACTGGATGGCCACATCTTTGCTCTCGGGCCGCGCCGGCTTGAAGCTCAAGCCCCCACTCAAGGCAAGGTGCCTTCCCACCATCCGGAAGCACCACCACAATGCCGTGCCCTGCATGATCAGCAAAATGCCGAAGGCCACAGCAAGGTCCGTGAAGATCCAATCGAACCCCCACTTCACTCCATCTCCTGCATTGGGCTCCTCCGTCTTCATTCCCTCTGCGCTCTGCAGAAGGGTCAGTAAGGCTACCATCAAAGCCTGCTTGCTGAAACCACTGAGGGCAATGGAGTTGATGCTCTCAGTGTACTTCTTGGTCTCCTGCTCGTAGGCCGTCTCCTCCTTCAATCCGATGCCCAGCTTCAGCCTTAGCACATTGAACCTTTCCACTGCCAAAGCCTTCGTGCCAAAGTCCGCCGTGTTGTCTTGGCTTGGCACTGCATGCAAGCTGAACAGCTTTCGATGCAAAGCATCCTGCACCCACAATGACTTCACCTCCAGGTGCCGGATCCTTCCAACTCCCTGGCGCTGGAACACGCCACGGGCTGCGCTGCTGTCAAGGAGACCTCCATCTGGAGCGGGAAGCCGATGAAGGCAAACACTTCCTTCATGAACAATCCCTCACTGCAGGCGGCCACGCCACCATTGAACTCAGCCTCGCCAGACGACAGGCACAGCATCTGGAGGCTCCTGGCGTAGCTGAATAGCAAACAGCCGCCAACTTCGAACATTGCACAGGCACAGCTCTTCCTGGTCTTCTTGCAGTTAGCAGTTAGCCCAATCAGTGTCTGAATGCACCTTCAGGATCTCAATCTCACCATTCTTGGGCAGCCACACGCCATAGTCCTTTGTGCCTTGTAGGTAGCGTGCCAAACGATGCAACTTGTGTAGGCTTCCGTCCGTAGGCTCCTTCATGTCCTTGGTCAGCTCACGGACTGCGAACTGCACATCCGTCCTGTCGTAGGAGAGGTACAGGGCGATGCCAACTCCTGCCCTGTAGATTCTCAAGCTCTCCCCACTCAACTTGTTCCCCTCCTTGACCTCCGAGCACAGGTAGGGTGTTGGAGCTGGATTGCACTCTTCCAAACCCAACACCTTCAGCAAGTCGCTGATGTACTTGCCACGAGGCGTGAGAAAAATGCCAACATCCATGACCTCACGGGCCCTCTTGAGGTGCGTCCACTTTTCTCCCACGCGGTTCTCATGGATCTGGCTCTTCATCTTGATCTTCTCGTGCAGCTTCTTCTCCAATTCCAGCAAAGCTGCCTTAGGCCCGGTGGCATAGAAGTCGTCCATGTGCACTTCCATCAACACGCCACTGGCCGGGTTGTAGAACATCCAAGGTGCTGCTGGGTTCCTCTTGAAGTCCACCTCCTTGAGATGCCCAGCTGCCCATTCCACAAAGGCCTGGCCAGCAATGCGCCTGCCATACCACTCAGTGTTGAGCTTCCAGACCACACGATCAGGTAGATCGACTCCGCTGTCTGCCATCTTCTTCAACCACTCCTTGGGAGGCTTCATGTAGGCTTCTTCTGCAATTGGTACTTGCCAGAACGCATTCTCCGCATCAGCTGTCAAGAAGCTGTAACCCATCTTGATGCCCACAATGTCAATGACCCTCGACGTTGAGGTACTGGATGCCACCGCAAACACGTCCGTGCGCGGGTCTCCCCGCTTGAACTCTCTCACACAGTACCTGCACCTCACCGAGCCATCCGGCTTCCGGGTTCTGACCCAGACGGCATCCAAAATCTTCATGCCATCCTTCTGCTCGTCAGGGTCGTAGGTCTGGTACTTCTCCATCTTGCGGAATTCTTCTGCATCACCTTCATCCATCTCTTCCTTGCTCAAAGGCTTGCTTTCCTCATTGTCCGAGTCCTCATAGGCCTGGTCTACGTCATCCTCGCACACGATGGTGTCTTCTGTTGGCGAATACAGTGCACCCACAAAGATTCCAGCCACGCGAGCCCTCTTGGCATCTGGAGTCATCTCACCGGATTCTCCTGCCCATTGCAGACATGCCCAAATCCATAGGTGCTGCCTCACCACCGCCCACATCTGCTGTAGGTCTTGATGCCGACGAAGGACCTGGTTGCACAGGAAAATTTCCCTCGTCCTCCTCTTGGATGACCTCCCCACTGGGCTCCAGCCTGGGGCTCTCGTTGGCCGTCTCTTCAGTCGGGATCAGGTTTGGCGTCTGGGGCAAGGCAATGTCAGCCTTCCTCTTTGGCCTGCCGATGGTCGTGCCCATGTCCCATGGCACTCCAATCATCTTCTCCATCAGCTCTCTGTTGTAGCGCCTGCTGCTGTCAGCCAATCTGCGCACACTCCTGGCCGTCACTGTCCCTTCCTCTGTTCCCAGCAAGTATTCATTACTGGTCACACTTCTCCCAAGAAAGATGCCCTGACGCCATGCTGTCTCCCCCCCCCCACACCACTGCCCTGTTGTGGGATCTCCTGGCCTTACTCATGGGGATCTTGAAGAGCACAGTCTCACCAAAGGGCACCAGCTGCGAAGTGTATGCCGTGTCGAAGGCATCCTGGTATGCTGTCCTTTGATTGCCCTTGACGCTGAACCTGCTCCTGATGAATGAGCACCACCTCACCAGCCATGGCCACAGGTTGTGTGGAGCGTGATGCCATAGCTCGCCTCCGTCTGGTACCTGAAGGTGAGGACATCACCACGGAGCAACTTCTGAAATGCTCCCATGGTTCCAAGACTCTGAGATGAGTACCTTGGCACTTCCTCGAACTGGACCTTGAGTCCTTCAGCTCCTGGGGCTTTCCCTTCTCGCAAAGCACCAGCTATTTTAGCGACGATCTTCTTGATCACGGGCTCGTTGTCGCTTCTGAATTTCACTGTAGCCCAGCTGTGCTATGAAGGATGTCACCGTCTTGATCACATAGGGCGTCTCCAGGTTCTTGCCAGGGATGGACATTGCCAGGGCCATCCCAGTGCCACTGTCCACGATGGAGAGGATAGTATCTGAGCTCTCCTCGAACCGCTCTGCAATGGATGTGTCTGTCTTGAGGAAACTGTAATCCAGCTCGAAGTGGTTCTCGGCCAACTTCTGCTCCATTGTTCTGCGTCGATGCGGATCATCCATTGCATGGCCTCTGGTGCAAAACTCACACCAAGGTGCTGGCGGCAGATGTGTGATCAGGTGCCGCTCCACTTCCTCCGTGTCCGGCTTCTGGGGTACTGGCGCATAGGAGACGTCAGGTTCCCTGCCCTCACGCAAGGCCTGCTGTCGGGCGTCACGTGCCCGTGCCCTCCTGATCGACAAGGCTCTCTCTGCAGCCTGCAACCTCTTCCACAGGGTGTGCTTGTCACCATAGATGGGTTCCTTGACCTCTCGAACTCTCACTCTCATATCCCCCACCTTGCTCCATCCGTGCAGTCGTGGCCGATCAGCTCGAGCATGAGCCTCATCCTCTGCGAACTCAGGTGGGATGGGGGCCATCTCAATCCCTTCTCCCTCATCTTCAATGCCTGCATACTCCCACTCATACTCTTCTCCTTGTCCAGCCACAGGTGCCACCACACCAGTGCTCAGCTCGTCTGCTGCAAAGCCATTCCTGCTCATCTTCCCAGCACTCAGGACATCCTTACTGGCCTGCTCGCTGACCTTGAACTCAGTGACCGCATTCAGGAACTTGTGGTCCTCGCTGATGATCTTGTAGTTCACCTTCTTCTTGCCAAGTCTCCCAAAGCACTGTCCTGAAATGCCCATCAACTTCACCTCACTCTCCTCGGTGTGGAAGTCGCCACCAAAGCTCGGTCGGCACAGATGCTCATCACTGCCTGAATCCCATAGGAGGTACTTGATCTTCTGGTCAGGCGACTGTGATGCCAGCAAATGCCAGTCTGATGGCTGCTTCGGTGGATCATCATCACCCACATCTCGTCTGAGTACTCGTCCTCAATCTCATACACATCCTCAGCATCTGCCCAGTTCACACGCTCACCATCACCGGGCAGCCAGTAGTACACTGCATTTGTGCTTTGTCCGCCGACGGGGGACGCAGATCCAGTTGCCGAAGACGATGTCGCTGTGATGGCATTGGTGCTGCCACCTTTTCCTTTTCCCTCACGCTTGGCCTTCTCTTTGGCCAGCAAGCGGCAATCCGCTTTCTTGTGCCCCCACTTTCCACAGTAGGAGCACTCGCCGTTGAACTTCTTTGGAGGAGGTGGCTTCCCCTTCTTGTCGAACTTGCCACCCTTGTTGACTCCTTTCTCATTCTTTGACTTGCCGCCCTTCTTGCCCTTGTCAAAGGACACTGCACCAACATCCATGGGTGCTGCTCCACCATCGTCCTTGCCCAACTCGCCCTTGGCGTTGTAGTATTGCCCTGCTTGAAGCAAATCTCACACAAACTTCTTGGCTCGCTCGTAGTTTGTCCCAACTTGAGCTCCAGCGGTCCTCAGGGCTGACCTCAATGACACAGGGTGTCCTCCACGCAGGCGCCCACGCGCGGGTCTTACCCTGTCTGACAGGGGACCCGGAGCAGGAGCTCACCCTGCTCCGCTACCATGCAAGCGGGTAGCGCGCCTTTTCCAGCCTAAAAGGGGCTTCAGTAAGCGGTCGTATGACATGCTCTACAAGACATACATAAAGACCTGCATCCTATCCTTTTAGGGTACACACCCACATGATTCAGATGTATTTCCAGGTGTCTGGCTGCATGGTCTCAGGGTGGTTCAGCGCGTTCCCAGCCGCGTTCATAGGCGTACCATCGGGCAAATAGCCCACCGAATTGGTGAACTCTGCCCTTGGGAGAGGTGCGCCAGGTGTGTGGGGATCAGGCTGGATGTTCTCCGGATGGTTGATGGCGTTTCCAGCCCGGTTCATCGGGGTGCCATCTGGCAAGTATCCCACATCGTTGAGGTACTCCAAGTCAGCATGGGAATCTCTCTGCAAGGAGTAAGGGAACTTGATGCCATGCAAGGCCTTTCGGGCCACCTTGGATGTACGACCATGAGCCATGAGTCCTGCAGCAGTGGCTAGTAGTGCCATGCTGCACACGGGGAAGCTGGATGTCGAGGAAGCATCCCACGACTCTGAGGCTGCCTCTGATTGAAAGCCTGTCGCCTGTGCACCCTTCGGTGCCAATGCCCCGGGAGCCACAAAGACAATGCTGGCATTGAGGAAAACAAAGCCGACGGCTGCCAGCGCCAAGGCGGATGACATCTTGGACATGTGCGACATGGCTTGCAATCGAAGGCTGAAGGTGCACTGCTCCTACACTGTTGAGCCCTGGATCTACGAAAAACAAATGGCATCCATGCATTCCTTCAAGGTCCCTTCATATTTGGGCTGGACGTCGATTGAAGGCAACCACAACTACTTCAGAGGTGCTTCCCAATCCCAACCCCCCAATCCGCCAAGGCTCATTATGTTTATCTCTATCTATCTATCTTTCTATCTACCTATCTACCTACCTACCTAGCTATCTATCTATCTATCTATCTATCTCTCTCTCTCTCTTTTTGTCCTCGAAGGGCAAGTTCTCACCTGGAGAAATGTCGAAGATTCGAAGATTACAGATTCCTACTTATTGGCATGTGCCAAACTGCCCCACTATTCACCAAAATGGGATTATGATTATGCTGTACAGCCCTCGACCGGCTGCAGCACAAGTGCCACGGATAGGCTCCACACCTTTCCTGGCAGGAGATGCATTCACA